CTTATTTGGATATCACCAATTGTCCCTGCATTGTTTTTTAGAGAAAAAGAAAATCCAGTCTTACTGGTTGCATTCGTTTATATGTCTTTTTATACTTCTTGAACCTGGAACAGTTCTTGTGCCTTTCTTTTTATTTAGTAGCATTGACATAGTTTAGTAATATGGCCTATTAGTGTGTGTGTGTAGAGAATGTGCTACAGTATGGCTTTGTTTGACATGTCTTCATGATTATAATCTGATTACACACTTCGGGCAGGAATACCACTGAAGTTACGCTAACTTCTTCTCACTATATCATGAGCCACATGCTATCATCATTCCATTAATGGTAATGTGTAGTATAAACATTTGGATAAAGTGGTGTCTGCTAGATTTCTTCACTTAAAGTTACTGTTTTATCCTATAATGAAAAAAAAATATGTTTTAGGAGATATTTTGAGATTCTGTGAGTATTGTGTTAGTTCTTAAACTTTCACCTACTAGTTTTATGATTTTTACCAAATGATTTTCTAATTCATCAACTTTCTTTTGTTTATTATTATTTTTTAATGTTTTATTTATTTCTGAGAGAGAGAGAGGGAGGGAGAGAGAATGAGAGACAACATGAGCAGGGGAGGGTCAAAGAGAAAGGGAGACATAGAATCCGAAGCAGGCTTCAGGCTCTGAGTCAGTTGTCAGCACAGAACCTGACGTGGGGCTCAAACCCATGAACCATGAGATCATGACCTGAGCCAAAGTCAGACGCTTAACCGACTGAGCCACCCAGGCGCCGTTCATCAACTTTCCATACTGATTAGTTGGCTTGGTTTTACAATGAAAAGCTTTCTCTAGTTTGTCTCTGTATCTTATGTATGTATGTATGTGTGATATATCTTTTTATATCATTATCTGTCTATCTGTTTTACATATATCTATCAATGTATACTTTATCATTCTTTGAACATTTTATTGTATTTTAGGCACTGTCTTGTAATATTCCTGCCCTGACTGGAAGCTGGCATTTCTTAAGCTGCCCTGGTTACATTAGTGACCTCTTTGCTATAAAGACATCTTTATTTTTGGATCATCTCAACAGAAAGAACTGGAGAATAAGCATGTACATACATGCTTATGTGTGTGTCTGCTCATAGACACACATATGTTTTTATACATAACTAAACACACTGGTACATGCTTTTTACCTTTCCCTATATTTTATATTAAAACCCATGAGTTTACACTAATACCTAATTTTTTGTCCCTTACCACAGAATTCATTCTATTCTTCCTAGTTTCCAAAATTTTAATCTAACTTTTATTATCCACCACATATATTTTTTAAATTTCTTCTGTCTTAGAATGTGTAGAAGGTTTCCAGAATTGCTAACCCATACCTCTGTGAAAAGGAAGAATACTAATTAGAGGTTAGCATTTATTTATTTATTTATTTATTTATTTATTTATTTATTCATTCATTCATTCATTCATTCATTCATTCTTCAGTGTGAGGACATATAATCTCTAACTGTATTTAAAAAGTACTTGTGTTTGGGGCACCTGGGTGGCTCAGGCTATTGAGTGTCCAACTACAACTCAGGTCATAATATCATGATTTGTGGGTTTGAGCCCTGAACTGGCTCGCTACTGTCAGCATCGATGGAGCCTTGCTTCAGATCCTCTGTCCCTTCTCTCTCTGCCTCTTCTCTGCACTTGCATGCTCTCTCTCTCAAAAACAAGTCAATGTTAAAAAAAATACTTGTGTTCATCCCTTTGCCCTCCTTCAGTGTGGTGGTTAGTCATCTGAGTAAGGGTCATTCATTTATATCTGTGTTTAGTAAGCTTTAGGGCCACCTGGACCCCATCAGTATCACTGATGTTATTTTCTTTTTTGAGTATGTGAAATATGGACTTGGTCCCCGAAGTCAGGAATGTACAAAAAGTCATTTTCCTCCCACTGTTCCCCCCATTCTTTCCATAACATTCTTACTCATACCCTGTAAGCAACCTATCTCAAACCATTCTCTGGTTTATACTTCAAATTTTTATTAAATATGCAGAAACATGCATATTGTCTTATTTTTTTACACAAAGGGTAACATATTCTATTGTACTTTTTTTTGTCATTTAATCATATTATTTGGAAATCATTCCGTGTTACCTATAGAGATCATCCTTGTTTTTATAGCTATGTAGGACTATATTTTGATAATATACTACAGTTTATTCAACTGTTCTCCTAACTCTTAATATTTAGGTAAATTCCTATAATTTCAGTAATGATAGTGGAAACTTTTGTGAGCAGAGATATTTCTGTACTATAAGAGGTGTTTCATCAGGATAAATACCTAGAAAGGAGCAGGCTAGGTTAAGAGATAAACTCATACCTAGTATTGCTAATAATGGCTATACCAGTCTGCATCCCACTGGCAGTGTATAAGAGTACCTATTTCCAGTAGCTGTGTGAAAAAAATATATTTTTATACTTTTTAACTTTTGTCTGATAGGTGAAAATTAGTAAATCAGTGTAGTTTTAATTTTTAGTTCTCTTATCATGGGTCAAGTTAATCTTATCTTCATTTACTTAAGGGCCATTTTTATATTTTATGTGAATTGTCTCTGTATTTACTCAATTCTCTTGGGCTATTTTTAATTCCCCCCCCCCCCACAATTTGACAAGAGTTCTTTGCTTATTAGGAATATTATCTGTTGTTGAACAATTTTCTCCAGGTTGGTGTCTGTTTTTTGACCTTGATTATGAAACTGAAATCCTTGCCATTTGCCTGAAGGTTCCAGTTACTTAAATTCTAGATTCATGTTTGCCATCTAAGTATAGCTCTAGAGCAGTGTCTTACATTTAGTATATACTGGATCTAGGACTAACTAACTGAGTTTTACTACTTACTCTTGATTTAGGCAAGTGCAGATGTCAAGTGTCCTAACTAAAAGTAATCTCTGAAAGTTAGAAGGCCTATTTTTAATTATGAGATCTATCTTGGGGTGCTTGGGTGGCTCAGTCGGTTAAGTGTCTGACTTTGGCTCAGGTCATGATCTCACGGTTGGTGAGTTCAAGCCCTGTGTCTGGCTCTGTGCTGACAGCTCGGACCCAGGAGCCTGCTTCAGACTCTGTGTCTCCCCTTTCTCTCTCTGCTCCTCCCTCACCAATGCATGTGTTCTCTCTCTCTCTCTCAAAAACAAACATACATTAAAAAAAGTAAAAACAATATGAGACCTTTCATTTTTCAGTAAAAAAAAATCATGCTGTCTCAACACCGCGTACATGGTGAAGTTGCATTTTTAGTGAAAAAAATCAGATTACTAAGATAGTAATGGTATCAACATTTCACATTTATTTATATCAAAAAGAAACTGCTCTATTCTGTTTTCCCTTTCACAGATAAGTTTGTTGTGAATACAAATGTAAGCTTGAAGAATAGAATTTTAGGTCAGCTATTTGAACATTTGCCTTTGCTAGAATTCTTACTATTTTAAAATCTAATATATAGTATATCTACTAAATATCAAGTATAATGTGCTGGAAGTACACAAAAGATATTAAATGGGCATAATTTCCTCACCTTCAGAAATTATCACTATGCATTGTTAGTATAGTGGTGAGCATAGCTGCCTTCCAGAAATGATAACTATGTATATTCAACAGATAGTAATGCTGTAGCCATGAAAGGGACTTAGACACATAAACTGACTTTGAAGCAAGTGCTGCCAATGACTACTGCTTTTTGGTTTCATGTTTCTAAGTATACTTTTCATGTACAACTTGTTTGAATAACCCGTATCACATTTTTTCCCTATTCTTGTTGTTCATTTTTGCTTATAAGTTGATATTTCAGCTTTATACTAGAGAGGAACAGGAATAACATGTGACCACATAATGTCCCTCTAGTGTATGTCTAGGCTATAAAATCATCATAGTATAAAATTTGCCAAACAAAAGGCCACTGTATGATGATTTCATAGGTGCTTATTCAGCATAAAAAGATAACCTCAGATGCTGACAACAGAATAATTTCAACAGTGTCAAGAAGCATAAATCTTAAAAAATTGAATTTAGAATACATTTGTGCCATTTTAACTTGAAGTACAGAACCACAAGGGAATTCTCTCGAAATGAGCTTACATTAAAAGATATTTAACACAATTTTTTTTTGGTCTCAGGAATTATTAAAGCTACCATGCAATGATAATTCTTTTAAGAAACTCTGCAAACATAACTGTTATCCAGTTCTGCCATAAAGGGTAAATAAAAGGTTTATCTGAGTTTGAAATATTAATGTACATCATTATTTTTAGTAAGGTTCTGAATATAAGACAATATCAACCTCTGCAAGTTAATATTAAGATATCATGGTATATTCATTTACTATTTATGAAGCTATGTGTCATCAGTATATCTTAGGGACCCGCTATTGCTTGTTGATAGTTTTCTTTATTCCTTTCAGTCTACGCATTGTCATTCATATCTGTAATTCTCACATGTTGAGTTTCCATAGGTAATTCTACAAACTTAAGGGAAAATTATGCTGATTTATTTAAATATTCTTTAGCAGGAAAAAAATCACAATTTTTTGTGGAAATCTCTTATAGTGATAAAAAACCAAGTTCTTAGAAATCTACCTAGTACCAAAACTTATTTTATACATATGTGTAGGGGTGTGTGTATTTACTTTATGTTAATCATGAAAGCAGATAATTATAAACAATTAGCAAGTTGCTTAGTGTTCTAGAATATTTTATACTTTTATCAAAACCAGTGACTCCTTAACTGACTTAATATATGTGTATCTGAATCAGGAAAAGGCCACATTATTTCATTTTTATCAAGAGAGTGTTTAACTAGCTGGAGGTGTGCAGCAACAGCGTAGTTCTCATTGAAGATTTTTGAAAGGGCTAGTGACATGGTTGGCTTTGTCTCTTTAGACTATATTTTAGGACTGGCAAATGCGTTGTAGCCTAGGTAGAAAGATCAGATATGGGATTGTACTGGAGTCAGTAAGGGCAGGTGAATGACGATACTTTACTACCAATTAATGGCTATCACAATGGAAAGGAGGGATCAGATACAAGAGAGATTGTGCCTGCAGAAACTAGAACCAACCAACATGGATTGGATGTTGGACACAATTGCATGTGAAGTTTGTGTTCCAGATAGTGGGAATGCTACTCTTCCACAAGGAATGCAAAGTAAGATGAAATGAGTTCACCTGAACCAAATTGACTGTAACTATTATACCATGGAATGTTTCACTTAGTATTCTGGAATGCTAAAACTGAGAATGATCTGAGAACCTTAGTAAGATGATTTGGGAACAATAAATACGCATGCTTTTTTGATATAATATATAACTATTTTTATTATATTGTTGGCAATGGTAATAGTAGTAGAAGTAATAGCTGCATTTTTTATGTATTTGACATGTGTTAGATATTCAAAAACACATGATCTCATTTAATTTTCACATCACTACTAAGAGCTAAGTATTTTTATATATTTAATTATTGTTTCGGTTTTTTATTACAATTCTAGTTAGTTAACATATAGTAGGATTTAGTGATTCGTGACGTAACATATAACACCCAGTTAAGAACTAAGTATTATTGTTGTTTTTTGCAGATGAAGCAACTAAAGCGTAGAGAAGTTAAATAAATTGCCCAAGGTCACATAGCTGGTAATTATAGATGTACATTTTAAAGCTAAGCTGTTTGACTCTAAAACTCTTGTACTCTTTGAAATTCATTTCATTGAATAGATGTAGCTAATCAGAAATGGAAAGGAACCATGGGGCGCCTGGGTGGCTTAGTCGGTTAAGCGTCTGACTTTCGCTTAGGTCATGATCTCGCGGTTTGTGGGTTCGAGCCCTGCGTCGGGCTCTGAGCTGACTGCCAGCTCAGAGCCTGGAGCCTGTTTTAGTCTGTGACTCCCTCTCTCTCTGACCCTCCCCTGCTCATGCTGTCTCTCTCTCTCTCTCCTAGAAATAAATAAAACATTAAAAAAAAAAAAAAAAGAAATGGAAAGGAACCCAAAGATGAATATAATAATACATGTACCCACACTAAACTTCAGGATGCCCCAAAGACCTTAAAGAGTTTCACAAAATTTTTAAATAAGTCAATTTACTTCCCTTTAGTTAAAAATAGCTTACGTGGTAACCCTAATTTTTGGATGGCAAGGGGAAAATACACAGTATAAAAATAAGATAAAGATAATATCTGGAAATGTGATGCAAGTTTATGATGGAGAATACTAAGTATCATTTTTATTGTGACTTACAGCTTGTACCTGCAGTGGCCATGCCAACATTTGTCATATGCACACAGGAAAATGTTTCTGTACAACTAAAGGAATAAAAGGTGATCAGTGTCAATTGTAAGTAAAAATGAATTTTTTAGAACTTATGTGGATTGAATTTCTGCTGTAAACAAATTGTTTAGGTTTTCCTTTTTTAACTTCAGTATTATGCTAGTTAGGCAGCCAATATTTTTGTAAACTGCATTTAGTTATATTTTATCAATTCTCATAAAAAGTTAGGCCTTTTAAAATGGCAGTTTTGTGGAGTCTTTAAAATAGAACCCAGAGAATATGTTTGCCTTTGGTATCTTTCTTTTTTTAAATTGTTTTTTAATATTTATTCATTTTCTAGAGACAGACTGTTAGTGGGGGAGGGGCAGAGAGCGAGGGAGACACAGGATCTGAAGCAGGCTCCATGCTCAGAGGTGTCAGCACAGAGCCTGAAGTGGGACTTGAACTCATGGGCTGTGAGATCATGACCTGGGCTGAAGATGAATGCTTAACTGACTGAGCCACCGACCTGTCCCTGTCTTTAGTATCTTTTTACAAAAAGGAAATACTCTTAAATTTTTGGAAAACACATATATCAAATTTGCATTTTATTTTTATAATTTTCCTCCATATCTAACTAAATAAATTACTCCGATCAAATGTTTTTTGCCTTTCTTTTAAATCAGTCATTGTTAATTAAAATTGTAGTCATTTAAGCCTTTCAAGTGGTTCTTATACTTTTCTTCTTTTTCCATTTCACCTGATAGGAACCCACTCTTGTCACTCTGCTTTCAGGAGTTTTATGAATGACTTTTGTCTTTTTATAAGTTAGTTGTTAGTGCTTGTTTTGGCAGCACATATATTATACTTTAGTGTTATTCTCAAGATTTATTCTCCCCTTGCCCAAAATTAACCCTAAAGAGGAGTTGTTTGATGTTATTTAAAGATTGTTTTTTTCTTATTTACATGTAGCATATAGTATTAAAATAATTTTATTGTTCTGAATAGTATATATGCACTTATATTAGATACAAATGTGTTTGACACAAATTATAAACTCTAAGTCTAATAATTATAGAAATATAAAAAGTTAATAAAGGATTTTCTAAAACTTTTATATCCAAAGGAACCTATTAACCATGGAAAATGATCATTTTGTTTTTATTTAAAACAAATATGCTATTTGCTGTAGACTTATTTTAAACATTTCAGGGTGGATGATCATGTCTTTGGCTAGGCATGGAGGTATCATAGTTTTTTAAGTTCAGAGAAGGTGAACAGAACCAGTTTTTATTCCTTCGCCATAGTCTCTTAAAAAGGAGATGTGGTGAAAGTATAATATCTTAGGGAAATTCCTATTAAGGAAAGCTATTTTGGTCTCAATACCCACGGAAATTAAATCAGAGTTCTGTGTTCTAATACAGAAGATACTTCTAATATTTTGCTGAATGCTGATATTCATAAGCAGACCACCTTCATGGCCTGTGCATTTGCACAGGGCTTCATGCTTAGAAGGGCATCATGCTTGACTAAATGCATTACTGTTACCGTCTTGAAATTCTTAATGAAATTTTAAGAAGAGCCTTGTTTTTATTTTGCATTGCTTCTTGACTCGTTCTCCCCCTCTATGAAGTATGTATCAAGTTCTGGTCATAAACAACCAATGTTTTATTTTTGTTCTGAGATTCCATTATTCTATCAAATAAAACTGACAATTAAAATTTGTACTGTATTTTTGTATAATCACTTTTATATATTTTTTATATATTCATTTACATATGTAATCATTTATAATAATTATCTCTTATATGATGTGGTAGTTTAGTAAAGATACTTTTGTTTCCAGATTAGAGAGAGCAGTATTTTAATTCATTGAGCTCATGGGATTATAAGCTTAGCAATACAAAGTTACAGGATTTGGCATATGTATGAAATAGTAAAACAATAAATTATATAGCTCTGAATGATGAAAGTACATTTTGCTCTAGTTATTATTTATGATTTTTATAAGCAAGGAAATATTAGAATATTAATGCGTACAGTATTTTTTAGATAGTCTTTGTAGATAGAATTATATTCTTTATTTTTTCTTCATTTTATTTATTTGGCTTTGGAGTATGGGGCAATGAAAACAGGATCATCATTCTTAAAGCAATTATTTTCTACATTGTGCATATATTGAAAATAACATATTGTTAGGAAGCAAAGCTAGTCATTCAAATCACTAAATAATTATTAAATGAGTGCTTGTATGATTAATGAAGATGAATAACACGGTTTTTGCTTGAAGTATCTTTCAGGCTAACAGTAGAGATACTAGCCAAAATATTATGTACTAATTGGTTGTGTTAGTGATTTGAAGTGCTTGTGAACCTTTCCCTCTTGACAGGATAATTTCTTTTTGGATTTAAGTATATAGTTGGGCATCACATCTTCTTGTGTATTTTTCATAACCTCCTCAAACTGAAATTGGTTCTTTTGCTATGCACTAAATTGTTTCTTGCCTTATCTGTGTACTTGCCCGTATCCTTTGCTAAAATGAAATTCTTTGGGGATCATATCATCAGTACCACGATGTAAGGGTTCAATAAGCTTATTTAATGGGATGGAATAAAGAAAGTATTAAAGGAGTACTGAAAAGGGAGGGATTAATTTACCTTGGAGGGGTCAGGTAAGTTTGAGAAGAGGTTACTTGAGCCGTAACTTGAAGGAGGAGGTAGAGTGTTCTGGGTAGAGAATATAGTAAACAGAAGGGGAAACTACATCAGTAAAGCAAAGAGGTGGAAATGGAGATGACTATCGCACTTCTGGTTTTTTTTCAAGGACATAGAGAGCTGGTACGAGTATCCATTGGTCCTACCATTACAATGAAAGAAACAAGAGCTAGACAAATTGAAAATCCATGAGCTTGCTGGAAATCATTGGAGAATTGAGATTACAGGGTAACCAAATAGCCAATAGTCTAAAGAAAAACAAGAGCTTTCAGGGAGAGAGCAGAGTAGATAGATCACTGGCTTACCTGGAGTGAAACCAACTGGAAATGTACAGGAGCTGAGCTGAGGTAGTTGATAAATTGTTGCTCAGGTTTGCACTGTCAATAGAGAGCAGAGCTCCTGGGGCCACAGGAATTAGAGTATCCTCTCTCCCCCAGTGAAGCCCACCATTTGCTCAAGGTTTTGTGGAGAAAAATTTAAGAATGTATTTCCTGTGGTGTAAGCTGGAGGAAGGGGAATGGCAGACTCACTGGCCAAGGCTGCAGTAATGGGGTCAAAATACTCATTTAAAGGGTCAGTACAGTATTTATATTGACAAGGAAGTGGAAGTTCTCATTCTGGTTCTGACTTGAAACATAGCTGGAACTCAGAAATGGTAACTTAGAACATGAATTTAATGGAGATATGAACTATAAGATAAATATGTAATGAGGGAGGTGATATTCTCTATGAAAATTGTGTACTTTCAAAGAGTAACATGCAGACTTCAAAGAAAACACCACATTATTATTTTTGAAAAATTTCTCAGTTTTATATGTGAGGGTCACACATATTTGATTCTGTTAAATACAGTGTCTCACTTTTCAATGTAATAGTGTAAAGAAGGTCAGTAGTAAACTTTCTTTTCCCTTCAGCCTTCTAACAACCCCTTGTGAAAGAAATTGGCTTTGTTCAGTGGGAAATGATGTATTTTAATAAAATAAAAATAAGTGAAAGAAGTTTTGATAAAATGTTTTGGTAGATACTTATGATGTATCTTGCCAACTCCCTTGGCAGTCCTGGTGTCATCAAAGCTATAGTGGACAGTTTCCTGTACTTTTCCACATAAAGTATGAGATTCTTTGGTCCTCTTTTAGTTGCAGAGCTACTCATTGCTGCCCGGTGCAGCTAGGAAGGGTAACGCAGTTTATGCCAATATGCGTCATCCTCAAACAGTGAAGGGCGAGATTTCGTCCTACATTTCCCACTATGTCACCAGTGCTTCCTCAGATAACTGGCCAACAGTACCCACATCCAAGCCCTTATCTCAGCATCTGGTACTGAGGTACTTCCAACTAAGGCAGTTGCTCTGGAAGTGGCTTCTGGCAACAGATCGTCAGCATGGGATGTTGTAGTTGGGTGACTTACCAGATGGCAATAATCACTATAATGCTAGGTAAGTGAGATAGTGGTTATCCTGGAGTGCTATAGTATAATTATTGAGAATATTAACTGTGTTTCATAGGATAAAGTATAGGTTGAAGGAGAAGTAGGAGTTTGTGCAGCGACTTTAGTACCTGAAAGTTATGAGGGGATAGTAACTATATTGTGGACTTGGCTGGCTTTTGTTGACTGCCATAAAGCCTTAAAGAAGGAGCCTTCCTTCAACTCGGCATACTGTGAACATCAGAAGGCCTTTATAACAACATTTAAAGACTCTTAGCTTCTACAGCTAGAGAGCAGAGTATGTTGAAAATTCTGCCTAGGATATAATTATAAGGTTGGCTGGCTTTAAATGAAACTGGAAGGTCAGCTGTGACAATTCACCCATGCCAGTCACTGCCTGATGACAAGGAGTGGGGGTTCACCCTCAAACAGCAGGGACACTTACAAGTATGACCACAGAACTCTGAATCCTAGATTCATTCCCTTGGAGACTCCTGGCTAGAAGTAGTCCTCTGTCATTTGCTAGAGTAGGGTAGCTTCCCTCTCCCTGGCAGCAGTGTGAAGATTTCACCTGACCTGATGTTTATTCTTTATAAAAAGTTGTTTGACCTCCTCCAGAGTGCACCTTGCCTCTATTTATTGCCTCCAAATCAGTAAAAAGTGTCAAATCTCAAAGTAGCATGACTGGGAAGACACCATCTCTGCTGTAGATAGGTAAGAGATAGCTTATTCCCTGAAAAAGTTGCAGAGCCTGAGAAATAGACAGAGGCAGGAATCAGCAGTGCATATATGAGAGTGAACCTTCAGGGTATTGGACAAAGGGGCATGAAATATCAGACTGGAGAAGGGAGAATTTATTGATATGCTATCACTCTCCTATGATTTAGGACTTCAGGTCTTCATGATGCCTGTATTTGATGATGGTTCTTTAAAATGTGGGCATGCTGA